TTATAGGAATTAATCTGCCACGTTTTAAACTTTGCAGAGCTGTAGCTTCTTAATTAGGCTACTGTATTTTAACACTGGTCATTATGGTGGTACTTGGAGAGACAATTTTTTGGTTATTGGTGAAAAAAGTTTGAGAACCACTGGCGAGTGAGCCAGTTAGTATGCATGTCTTATGAGATGATTTCTGTTGCAAGAAGCAAATAAATAAATTTGACTTGACAATATTTGTCATTTCAATACACTGCTTTGGAAGGAGGACTCAGGAGATATATAAAAAAAACATTATGCATTTACAAATACTATGCAATAAAGGATCATCTGCGCTTTCTCACGCTTTTAAACACCAGCTGTCACTGCAATCCTGATTTACTTACTTGGTGCCAGTTTTATCTCTGCTGTCCTGGTCACTGTATACCAGTTACTATAAACTGTACATGTGTATTTTCCAGCATCTTGAGCTGTCAGATTGTCCAGACGGAGGGAGAAGTTTCCATGTTGAATCTCCTCAGTAAAGAAATGAGCTCTATCATGATAGTCTTCATTATGTGTCTTTGCTTGACTCTCACCATCTTGATACAGATGAACCAGAGTCTTGGTGTTTTTTCTTCTCCATTCCACCTTCTGTATTTTCTTAAATATATGTTTGTCAACATGGCAGGGCAAAACCACTGAAGATCCCACATAAAATGAAAGATTATAAGGTTGTTGGATAAAGAAACCTAAAAATAAAAAAATAAAAAAGCAGAAGACATTGCATTTCTAAAGGTGCAAAATATGTACAGTTTTGCCTTTTTAGTGAGAAAAGTAACAGGTTTTATATTTTATAATTCTTTGACTATTGACCTTATTCTGCTGTCTGTTGCCAAGCATCCAACCTTTTATTTTTACTCATTACATTTTTACACAAATATCTGTACTTTCTACTAACATTTTTAAACCAGGTGGATCTATTTCGTTTTAATGTGTGATCAATATTATTTCTTGTCATTGTGCAATTTGAATTTTGACCCTTTTTGATTAAGTCGATCTATTTTCAATCAAACGTCTGGCTTTTTCATCCTATGCTGATCACACTGTATGCAGGCTACAGTGTTGTAAACATGACTGATGCTGTCCTGTTTACACCAGGTAATAAGATGGATTTTAGTCAGAACAGATCAAATGAAATGAGGCACATTCTTGTTCAAATTTCAGTCTTTTGTATGATAAATGTATTAACAGCACTGCTGACTATGTACATGAAATAAAATATCCACAATACTCAGAAACAAATATTAAGCACTGCAATTCTGAGTTAACACCATGATTGCAGAGACCCTACCACAGAATATGGTAAGACATGTACCCCTGAATTATGACAAACACTAAAAACACGATATTCATGAGAGCTTTGAAGATAATGAAGCAGGTTTAGCCTAATGCCAGAAAACAAATGTAAAATATCTCAAGTATTTATTATAGCAAAAAAAAAAAATGTAAATGTGTTTTGGACAAAATTAAGTATTACATTGAAGACATTATTATTATTATTACATTGAAGACATTATTATTTGTAAAGATATAGGCCAACAGAATATATTTAGATCGTATGAACATGAATGGCAGCTGTTGTTCTTGATCTAAAACAGGGTTGTCCAAACTTTTTGGGCCGAGGGCCAGATACAAAAAAAAAAAAAACGTTGTCCCGGGTCAAATTTTACATACATCACACAAACACGCGCACATATATATATATATATATATATATATATATATATATATATATATATATATATATATATATATATATATATATATATATATATATTAGCTAAGCTACCACATAATTAGGCCCACACAGAATCTGCGTGTGCAGATTTCAGCAGATTTTTTGCCTATCATTAATTCTGTTTATTTACTTAAGTACATGTGTATAAATCTAAATTTATTCAGTTTTTTTTTTATTAATTTTAGTACTATTATTGACTAATGTGAAAATATTAATCTGATTTATGTACAATGCAGTGTGTACAGTCATATTTTCTGTTTTTACTAGAAATATTATATGACAAACTTGCTTTATTTACCAAATAAAGTGAATCTAATTGGATTTTAAACAAAATGTAAAATTTAAATAAAAGTTAAAAAGATATTATTTTTTTATTTCATATTCTTTAGTTATGATAGTTATTTAGTTTTAGTTATGATACTCCTAAAATAATTCTGCAGAAATCTGCAGATTTTTACCAAAATCCTCCACAGAAATAGCAAAAAACGTCTGCAGATTCCGTCTGGCCCTGCTGATGACTAGCCAGCATAGAATTTTCTTGCACTTTATTAGCACGGAAAAACTGCTATTGTTGAGCTGATAGAGCAGCTGCTAAATGTTTTACTTTTTGATCTTTTTCGGCACCAGTGTAAGAGCTGAAGGCCTGATGTTTTTTTTTTTTTTTTTTATAATGTCTTTTAATATTATATTTCTTCATTACTGCAACTGATTCCTGGCAAATAAAACAGACACATATTCCACTGACCTCTGTGAATAAATATTCTTTGCCCCAACATGACGGAAATTTCCTGCACTCACTGTTGATTTTCCTTTTTCTTGGTTGTGCCATGGCTCGCAAAAACGTGATTATCAACTATGTTTCTTTCAGTTTGTTCGGTTCGTTTTACTTCATAACAGGAACTGCTGCCTAATGGAAGGCATGTAATAGCGACACCCGGTGGTTATTTATTTAATTACGCAGTAAATTCGCAGTAAATTCCACTGCTAGTGTATAGTCATAAGAAACTAAATAGTTTTTTGATTGACTACTACAAGCTGGGAAAACGTCAGATAAATATGACTATGCAATTAACATTATTGCTGAATAGATCTAATATTTACACATTTGCTTGAGGAAGGAATGATGGGGGCAGTTAAATTACTATTATTATTTTCCAAAACATCTATGCACTTCCATAACATTAGCTGACGTTAAAACTAACAGATAGCACTATAGCTATTTATTGATTAGCAATGTTATGCCATATCTGTCAACGCTGGGATGTAAAAAATATGGGACAACAAATAGCTTCAAATGATAGAAAACATAGCAAACAATAGAAAATATTGGCAATAAAATAAAAGGTTTAACCTATTAACAACAATAGCTTATACATAAATTAAACAAAGCTATAAAATCTATTTAACTTTTAATTTAACTATAATTTAGTGAAGAGCAGCAGATGAATCTCTCATTGTGTTTTGTTTGATAACAGAGATGTTAATGTAAGAAAGCACAGATCTACATAAATGAATGAATGAATGAAGCATTCGACTACTTTAGTAACTGTTGGTGCTCATTTAAGAGAAAATTAGTTGTGTTTAAAATAAAACACGCAGGACAGAGCAAAAAAAACAACAACTAAAAAACGAAAAAAATAAGCACTTTTCCGACGGTTCCTTATTGAGAGCTCAACTCCGCGCGAGCTCTCCCGGCTAAACAGAGCAGTGGTCATAATGTTGAGCGGAAAAAAAAAAAGACAGCTGTGAAACATAAGCAGCTTTGTCTTTTTGTAGAAAACACACTTTATATTTTTTTAGGGTAAGAGGTTTTTAAGTTATTGTTGTATATCACTGAATGTGTCAAGAATATCAAGAACAAAACCAACTTAACCGTGCTCATTTCTGGCGCCCCCTTGGATGTACAGCGCCCTTAGCATTTGCCTATACTGCCTATGCCACGGGCCGGCCCTGCCGCCACAAAACTGATTGCGGGCCGCAGATGGCCCGCAGGCCGTAGTTTGGACACCCCTGATTTAAAAGCAAAAAAACTACTTGCTGAATGCCGAGTTTGTCAAGACAAGATAATGATGCACAGGGTGACTTTCTGACAAATGTTGTTTGGCAATGTTGCAGGTCGACGATTATTTTTCTGCTGCAAATTAGCAAAAATTAGCAAAAATGTTTTTTTTTACATCGAAATTAGAAATTGTAAGTTATTTTGCATAAATGCATCAATATGATGTGAGGTTTAGTTATTGGCGTAAAACTTAAGCAGATAGTGAAGTATACTTTTTACTTAATGTTATCTAATGTTTACTTACATGTTTGAGGCCATACTTTTACTTAAGTACAAATGTGTAGTCAGTATGATTTTTATCAGAGTAATTTTAAACATGATTATCTGTACTTCTACTTAAAGTATGTGTGACTTTTGTTAACTCTGCTCCTGTGGTGCGAGAGCTGTCCCAAGTTGTCAGATTAACTTAGAATGAGGAAGGGATGGCCCATTGAAGTAAATGGATCCCATAGACTGCCATTTTTAATGTGCCTGATCATTATCCTAACATTGCAATGTCACAGAGACATAAGGGTGAGCTGGTTTGACTTAGATAGCACATCGGTCTAAAGTAACTTTTTGAGAACTCTGTAACCACACCCTAGAAACATATTGTTACGATTAAAGTTTATTTATTTATTTATTATTGCGTCTTTTTCTTTGTCCCGCCTTGTTGTTTTTTTCTGTTGCCTTATAGGCTCCCATACTGGCGTGATCCCTTGTTCTGATTGGCTGCTGGTCTCGGAGGCCTGTATATAAGGAAGCTTCCGGCAGAGTTTGGGAACTCATTTGCGTTGCGACCGCTGTTGGGAGTGGACCTCCTGGATTTCCCTTACCCCTTCGGCCAACAACCAATTTTGTACCTTTGTTAACATTAACCTATTTTGAGAGTTTGAGCGTGTAGGGGTGGCCTGCTTATTTATTTGATTACTTTTGACTATGTTTATGTTTAGGGAGAAAGGTAAGCTTTTTGTATTTTTCTTTAAAAAGTAATCGGTAGTTTAATGCATTTACTTTATAGATTCTTTTGTTTGTTATTTGGGCCCGTGGTCACCCTGAAGAGATGCTCATTTATATTATCTACATTTTTTCTATAATAAATCTACTCATGCATACTCTCAACTGAGTTTCTGAGTTTGGTTGTCGACTACCATACATTTCCATTCAAATACTATAAAAGGTATATCTTTAGGTTGAAAAAGCATCATATAGCTAATGAGAATATTTTCCTGTTATACCTTTAGTAGGTGACCTGAAGTAGATAATGAAGCAGAGCAGAAGTGCAGATCCAGATGCACAAATACAGAGAATCATCATCATTATGTGTACAGCAGAGAAACCTGACAAACAGAGATATCAGGTAGTACAGTTTGGTATTTGGTGACAGCTTTTGTATCATTTTCGTACTTTAACTTTTTAGGATCCTTTATAATAATACTGAAAATGTTTAATTTACCAATACAGTACAATAGAAAATCACTACACAAATTAAAAGTATTCAAATATTATTTTTTCAATCAACTTACCCAGTCTCTCCAGCTCTACAGTGGCATTGGCTGATAAATCTCCAGCAAACACTTGACACATGTAAACTCCTTTATCCTCAATTCTGACACTCTTCAGTCTGAGAGAGAAGTTTCCTTTGGGGATTTCAGCAGTGAAGAACTCAACTCTGCCTCGATATTTTTCATGTGCCGCCTCTAATATAGTCTCATTGTTTTGAAAAAGCAGAACCAGAATCTCTCCAGTTCTTATCCATGAAACTTCAAAGTGTTCAGGAGTGATGTGAGAGTTTACAAAGCAGTTTAGAGTCAAGTCCCCACCAACGTATGCAGAGATGGACTTATCTGAGCCTGACACCAGCAAACGCTCTGAAAGAACGAATTATGTAAATACCAAAGCATTATATTTAAATCATAGATTTATTTTAAATCATTTTTAAGTTGTAGTTGACTCACCAACATCTTTTATCTGAGCCACAGTTTGTCCAGAATCCTGCTGACTGTGAACTCTACACCTGTATTCTCCTTCATCTTGAGCTGTCAGATTGTCCAGACGGAGGGAGAAGTTTCCATGTTGAATCTCCTCAGTAAAGAAATGAGCTCTATCATGATAATCCTGCTGCTGGACCTCTGCTCGACTCTCACCATCTTGATACAGATGAATCAGAGTCTCTGAGTCTGCTCTTCTCCATTCCACCTCCAGATCCTCCACTGGTAAAGCTTCATCAACATAACAGGGCAAAACCACTGAAGATCCCAGAGGAGCAGACAGAGGAGCAGAAGGACCACGAACAGTGAAGCCTGAAACATGTTTACCCCCAAAACAGGAAGAGAGATGAATTTAATAATGCTTGATTTAAAATGTTTCATAAAGCATTATAGAAAACATACTAACAGAGACCACCATAACAAAGCTAACAAACATTTATTCAGGTCCACTCCTTGTTATTGCTTGAAGGCATTATGTTTTCTTTTATCTGTTTCAGAAAATCCATATTAAAAAATTATGATGATACATTTAGCTTGAAAGAGGTGCTCCAATAGAATTCATATTTGTCTACAAAATAATTATACAAAAAACCTATATATCAAAAGACTTACCCTCATAAACATTAACATTAACCATGTGTTTATTAAAATAACACTTTGTGTGTGTGTGTGTGTGTGTGTGTATATATATATATATATATATATATATATATATATATATATATATATATATATATATATATATATATATATATATATATATAAATAATAGGTTTAAAAATAAAATAATAATAATAATGCAAAAAATTTATAAAAATATTTCCCAGCTCCAGAGCATATGTTGTTTACTGTGGAACTGCTAATCTAGAAAAACAGGTATGAGAAACAGCACTATAAAAAAAGAAAAGCATTTGTATTGAGCAGCCAATCATGAAACCATCTTAAAAAAACTGAAGACCATTTAGTGTCCCTGCATCAAAATTGTGTCGTTATAAGATTTGTTTGAGGGATTAGTCCATAACAAACAAAAGCTTTTCACCTACATTCCTGTAAATATTGGGTGATTTATCATTTTGGGCTGAGAGTGAAGAATGTCCTGGTTACAACAGTCCCCAAAGGTGGAAATGAAGATAATGCGTCGAGGCGACACACTGGGGGAAATCACCAAATAAGTTTTTCACTCATTACAGCACACGTGCTGCTGATGATGTGACAATAAAAGTGATAAAAGTGATTTGATAAACAATCACTCTGAAGAGTGATAAAACAGGCTAATGAATGTGTATGAATTTGCTGAGCACAGCTCCTCACAGCCAATATAATAAGCTGAGAATATAGCCCACATCTGAAGAACAGCAAGCCAGGGTTTTAATTGCTAAATAAGTCGAACACTCAGCTAACAGCTGGAGACCCAGCTGTTGTGAGAGGGAGACACAACATCTCCATTCCCTCCTTTGGTGAACATTTGTTATGCAAGTAACCAGAACCCTCTTCTTCAAATTTGATAACTTCAACATTGTGTCGAGACGACACATTGGGAAAATGTGTTTGGAACGCGCCACTTCTCGAAGGAACTCTCCAGGGTTCGCCTTCTTGTCGAGTGTGCTCTCACTCCCGAGAGACGTGGCTCGTCCTAGCATTGCTAAGCGAGGGCAATGGCTAGGGCCACACAGAATCTGCGCCCGCAGAATTCCACAGATTTT